GTTATAAATAGAATTTTATTTATGGTGAATGTCTATATTTAGAGAGATTCTAGGGTTTATTACTTGGTGGCTAAGTCACCCTCTCCCTATAAATAGAGGGGTCCTATTTCATTGTAAATCACCCTAAATCAATAAGAATCCTTTCTCTCTCTCTTTCTCTGCAATACTTTTCTTCTTCTTCTTTTCATAATAAACATATATTTTCTTGAGAAACAAAAAAGCGGTTTCAATGACTCGATATGAAAGATGAGCAGCTTTATAATTTTTAGTGACATATTTTTAAATCAAGTTGTGTACCGTTCGGTTTGTAACTCCTATTGCATCTGCCTTTTATGTTATTTACTACTATATTTTATACGTTTTGAATATTTATATAGCACGTCCCACTTTTTTTTACTCTATGAAATCCACATCTGCCAAACATTAATTTTGAGGAAATTGTGCACACCATAAGTAGCATGAATATAGTGTGAAAACTATAAATTGATCCTTTATAAAATCTACTAGTGATTTGTGATAGGAGCAAATGCTCACATGCACAGGGAATTGGTGGGGGCTCCTAAATTATTAGGCCTTTCTGGTAATTGTCCACATCCACCCCCCCCCCCCCTTCCCTTCCCTATCTATTTGAAAATTTAAACATATATGTGCACTGAAAGTCAAATTGATTTTTACCCTATCATTATATTTTTACTTGTTATAACAATTTAACTAAATGACCAAATTAAACTTATTATAGAAAGTCACATTTTGCACTAGGAGACCATCTTAACTAGGTGTTGCCTATCGGACAATGAAATAATGGAGAATAGCATGTATCTTAGTAAATAGTTGAGATTTGTGCAACTTGAATCATGCACTATCGTTGTAAACAAATTATACAGTACAATGTTAGTGAACATGACATAAACTCCTATATGTGAAACCGTAAGATGTACGATCTATATTTTGTGATGCACCTGGGGCTGCTCTTTCGTTAATCAGAGGTTTCGGATCAAACCTGGGTATGAAAAAAGTCCTTGGTAGGGAGCGCTTCCCCTCGAATGGGGCCCTACGCGGCGCGAATTGGGATATAATCGGGCTCAAGTGTGGGTACCGAACACCGAGTGTAAAACCAAAAAAGAAGATGTACAACCATACAATATGCACACACAAAGAGGCAGATATATTGCCTTGTTTGTCACAGAAGCCAGGGGCGAAGGTAATGTATCGATCGCGGGTTCACACGAACCCATAGCTTCTGCTTAGACTTTGTTTTAAATTAGAAATAAATTAAATATGTATAAATATTCAATTACGAACCCAATAACTAAGCTATGAGTTCGATAGCAAATTTAGAACCTATAAATTTCAAATTCTGACTTTGCGACTGACAGATGCAAAATGGGGCGTGCATTCTGATCATACATCTCAGTCCTTTGAGATTTGGGAAGATATTGTGTGACTATTGAGTTGGGTCCTCTCCTCTCTTGTGAGTTGTGGACTTGTGTGTAAATGCCGAAAAATGGTAGTCATTTTCGAGAAGCCAACAACTTTTGATGTTGGCCCTTAAGGTCTAGTCGGTTGGAGTGAAGACATCCCCTTCAATAAAGGGGTCCTCTCTATTATAATGGTAGCTACTTTGGCCCCAACAGAAGCATTTAGGCTTATGTAGCCATCAAATGTACTGGAAAATCAAACCTTAATCTTCACTTGGTTGCAGGGTCGGAGGAGGAGTGCGGGGTGCAGGTTCGGCTGAACCAATAGCTTTTGTTCAAATCATGTATTTGTCTTAAGAAATTCATTGAATATGTACAACTTATTAATTCAGAACCCAATAACTTAAAATGATTACAATCCTGAACCCATAAGGTTCAAATCCTGACTCCGCCTCTGCTTGGTCGTAGGTACTGTAAAGACTGAAAAACTATCCATACAGTTCAATGCGAGGACCCCTAGCACACGTTATAAGACGTAAAGAAACTCAAATTTTGTCAAAGCCAACCGACTTTAACCGAGGACAATATTAGTACGAGTTTAAGGTTACTTCATTGAAGTCCAACTTCTTTGAGTAGCTTCCGGGAGGACTTTTGGTTAAGTTTTATGTATTGACGGTGTACAAGGGATATTTATATAAATAGTCAGTCGGCTTCATTGTTTATTTTTTCTTGCCGGTATATATTGATTATACATATATTATACATCTGTCATCTATTTTAAGTTGATGCGGTTAGTGACTGACTATATGTAGGTTAATTCTTCTAAAAGATACTTCAAGAATCAAATCACTTATAATAACAAGTAAATATCTATGATATAAGAAATAATTGGTAGTCTGATAAAATTGTAATTAAGAGGTTATCGCAAATTAAACTACTCAACTGATCATAATGGAAAAAATAGTACACACTGCTCAATGGATTTAACTTAATCTTCTGTACAAGGTTGGACAATTCTTTCAAGCATCAATAAATGTAGTGTAGGACCTAGCTAGAAATAACAGAAGAAGTCTAGGAACTAGGTTGAGAGAGTCCTTTTAGTGGTTGCAATTTTCCCCCTTTTTTCGTTGTCTTTTTATTTGTTTATATCTGAGAGTAGAAGAATTGAAGTAACCGTTGATTTATGACAATAACAAAAAATGGCAAGACACATTAGGTAGAAATATTTCAGGGGGTGTAGACATGCAAAATGGGAATTAAAATTAATTAAAAATGCAGAAAGAATGTCGTTTAATTGTTGGATACAATCAGAGAGCATAAGCAAGCAGTGGTTGTTTTATTTGTTCATTTTGCCCAATTCAGATGAGGCTTTAATGTCATGTTCCTAGTTTAATGAGAGCATCATGATTAACGGTGGCAAGTGGGCGGGTCGAAAACATGTAATGCAAAAACTGATAAAATATCGAGAAATTTTCACAAACCACTATTGTTTAGTGGTTATTAGCTAGCTATAGCTATCATTTACTAAATTGCTTCTTATAACTATGTTTTCAGTTGTTATAGAGTGTATTCGATGTATTTAAGCTACTATATTCATGAATACAGTAGCAGAACACGGCGTAAAATAGGGGAATCCAACTAATCAACAGTTGTATTCGATTGTATTCAACTGTATTTGTGAATACAGTAACGTAAACTGCGTAAAAAAATGGTCTTTTCAACTGTTTAAAACGGTAAGTGAATCAATTAACGCGATAGACTCCTAATATAACTCAACTAACTCAATTATAACACGCACAATCTGTATTTCACATTAAAGAAAAGATTTCCCAGCCAAAAAAGACCACAAAACAAAACAATCTCTAGATTTTCAATCCCTCCTTCTTCTGTTGCTATCGTTCTGTAGATTTTCAAAACATGTACTCATTTTAGATGAATACATGTATTTGGAATACATAACATATTCAAAAGTACAACAGTGGAAGTCTTGTAAATACATCTAAATACATCTAAATATAACTAAATACATCTAAAAACAAATGGTGGAAGTCACTGTAATAACTATTTATCAGTAAAATACAGATGTGTATTTGAAATACATAACACATTCATAAGTACAACCGTGAAAGTCATCTAAATATATCCAAATATATCTAAATACATTTAAACACATCTAAAAACAAGCAGTGAAAGTGTTGATTCTTTCAGAAATTTTTCAAATTGGGCTTGTTTCGATGTTCCGCAACTGTATTTGCTGCTGAACCTGCAAATACATGTTCCGCTTGAGCGTTTGTTGCAACTTGCCGTAGCCAAGCAGGCGTGTTGATTGTTGCAGTTTGTTGTGTCCCTTATGTATTCTCCTAGTAGATTATGAAAAAGTTGATGATGGAATTAAACGACCATGCGCTCGGCTTGGATTTCCTTCAGATTTTGTTCGCTAGATGTAATAATAGATTCGTGATACATCTAGTCAGGAGGATCAAGTGCAGGCAACTTGGAATTCTTTTGGGCAAACAATTTTGAAAATTGAGAGAGAGAATGGAGATGAATCAGTTGATAATGGAGCTTGTATTCGTGGGGAAGATACTGGGTTGGGAGAGAGATAGTGGAGAGAGAACGTGAGTTTAACAAAATTGTATACAATACCGGTGTTATTGGGAGAGAGAGAATAGAAAGTATGAGAGAGAAAAATATTTCACAGCGTATTTATTGGCTTAACAGTAGGAAATGACCAAATTTGCTATAAAACATAAAAGGTAGCAATAGGATATAATTTTATGGTATTTATTTATAATAAATAAGGTGTAAAGGTTTACTATAGGAGGTAAAAATTCTTAAAATATCCGATCCGCCTATATTTAATACGAACAAAAAATTGGTTAAAACGGTGGATCCCCATATTATCCACGACGTCTTGAATGTGTCACTTTTGAGAGGATTTCTTGTCTCTCAAAGGTGAGGAACCCCAATTTGAGTTTTCGCAAAAGTAAAAGTTAAATACATTAATTATCCATTAAATATTTATTTTTAAGTGAACAATATGAATCTTATCTATATTTAATCCATTTTAAAGAGTTTATTATCCGACTTATATTTTAATGTATAATTAATTTTGGGGTTTTAAACTATCATTGCTATCATTCATGACTCATCATTTTTTAATGAAGGATTTTAAAAATTCAGCTGTGCAGAATCGAAGAAATAGATGACTCAAGAATTAGAGAAATTTTTTGTGTATTCATTCATTTGTTTGTACATGTATATATATACAATTGAGTATTGAATAAAATAAAGGAAAAGGAAAATACTATTTACACTTGTCCTATTTGTATTTGTCTAATTGTAACAGCAAAATTCTATCCTAACTAACAATATTCCCTCACGTGATTTTCTGGTGAGGTAAGAAGATTCTACTAGTTAAATAAATCAATGGTCCAGATTTAATCCAACGAGAAAAGCAGGAAAAGATCTGTGGTTGTGATTAACTACTCCAAAATTTGATGTGTGGTTGTGATCAAATATTCAGAACTCCTTCAAATAAAAGAACACCCGACATATATCCTAGGTTATATCGAAATAACTTTAGTTTGGTCGGTCTTCCTTCTCATTTCCTCTTCTTCCTCGTTCAGACCTCATACCTCCATTGATGTCCAAAGTGAGCTGGGGTTTTGAATTTCTAACACCCCCCCTCAAGTTGGAGGGAAGTGTAGCGACCCCCAACTTGCTCAGAATCCCTTTATGAGAAACCCCAAAAAGGGGCTTTGTGAATAAATCGACCAACTGATCTTTGGATGGCACAAAAGAAAGAGTAATGAGCCCAGAAAGAAATTGTTGATGCACAAAGTGGCAGTCAAGCTCGACATGCTTTGTGCGTTCATGAAAAACAGGGTTACGGGCAATATGAATGGCTGCTTTACTATCTGAGTGAAGAGGAATTAGAAGAGTAATGGGAGTGGAGAGGTCATCAAAGAGACGTACAAGCCAGGTTAGCTCGGCAGTGACTCCCATCATGGAGCGGTATTCGGCTTCGGCAGAAGAAAGAGAGATGGATACTTGTTTCTTGGATTACCAAGAAATCGGAGATCCCCCCAAAGTGATGAAGAAACCACTCACCGACCTTCGAGTGTCTTTGCAAGAGGCCCAATCGACATCACAAAAAGCAAGGAGAAAAAAATCTGGTGTAGAAGATAATAAAATCCCCTGTCCAGGATCAGCACTCAGATATTTAAGAACCCTTAAAGCTGCAAAGAAATGTGTCCGGCAAGGGCGTTGCATGTATTGACTCAAAGTGAGAACAACAAAGGAGAGATCTGGGCATGTGTTGGTAAGATAGTTCAGCTTGCCAACCAAGTGCCGATATAAAGTTGGATTGTCCATGAGAGGACCATCGTCTGATTGAAGCTTACAATATGGATCCAGAGGAGAAGTTGCACGAGGCAAATGAGAGACATCAAACTCGTTGAGCATATCCAAGGTAAATTGTCGTTGACTGACAATAAACCCATTACTTTCTCGCAAAATTTCTAGTCCAAGAAAATAATGTATGTCTCCTAAGTCATTTAACTTGAATTCAGAATTGAGGAATTCTTTGATGCTTTGAATTTCCTGTATATCATCCCCTGTTAATAATATATCATCAACATAGACTGCTAAAATAGATATGAGACCTCCTGTTTTCTTGAAAAACAGAGAATAATCATTCAATGATGATGAGTATCCTTTAAAACTTAATGCCCCTGCAAGCCAAGCATACCACTGCCGTGAAGCTTGCTACAATCCATATAAAGACTTTTTCAATGGACAAACATGTCTAGGACTAGGAGGGGTGAGACCTGCTGGAAACTTCATGTACACTTCCTCTTGTAAGTCTCCATGTAAAAATACATTACTCACATCTAATTGAGACACATTCCATCCCCTTTTTGATGAAACAGCAAGAATACATCTTATAGTTGTCATTTTGACTACTGGAGAAAAGGTTTCACTGTAGTCTATTCCCTCTCTTTGGATATCCCCTCTTACTACAAGTCTTGCTTTTAGTCTTTCAATGGTCCTATCAGACAAGTGTTCTACCTTATAAACCCATTTACAAGGCAATGGCTTCTTCCCTTTAGGTAACTCAACCACTTTCTAAGTTTGGTTGTCTTGCAAAGCTTGAATTTCTGATTCCATGGCTTTTCTCCAGCCTGGATGATGAGAAGCCTGTTCATAACTCCTAGGTTCATTTAAAGTAGATAGGGACTGGATGAGATGTTGATTATTGATAGTTAGAGATGAAAAGGAGTAGGCACTACGCCTGGTTGGGTGAGAAAAACATTCCCTATCCAAATCAGCAAACATGATGCTGTTACACACATAGTCTTTAAGATACACTGGCTGTTGTGTGATTCTATCAGACCTCCTTAATGGAGCTTCCTGTCTAGGTGTAGAAACAGGAGAGTTGGTTGGGTATGTGTGAGGACTAGTGTGAGGTACAGGAGAAACAGGCTGATGAGGAGTGGGTGTGATGTATGAATCAGAAGAGTTAGGTTGAAAAGAAGGTGATGGTGGAGAGGTTGTATTGTGAGGATCCATATCTAGTGTAGATGATATTTCTGGCTGTATATGTTGAGAGGAGTTGGAATCCAAAGAAAGAGAGGAATCTGAAAAAACTGGATTGTGGGAAGGTTTAACTTTGGCAAAAGGAAAATGTGACTCAAAAAATTTAACATCTCTGGAGACAAAAATCCTCTTAGTTTCCAGTTCTAACAGCTTGTATCCTTTTTGATTCAAAGGATATCCAATCAACATACAAGTTGTTGCTCTTTCATCAAATTTGCTTCTTCCTTGTGTTAAAGTAGAAGCATAGCACAGGCATCCATAATTCCTCAAATAATCATATTTAGTACTCTGGAAGGCAGCCTATTTATGATGTGTGTGCAGTCAGAATAGACTCTCCCCAATATGATATAGATAGTTTAGACTGGAACATTAATCCCCTTGCAACCTCTAGGAGATGTCTGTGCTTCCTCTCAGCAATTCCATTTTGTTGAGGAGTACCAACACAAGTCAACTGATGTGTTATCACTTCTGATGCAATCAAATCTGCTTCTTGTGTCCCATTTCCCAATTCCAAGGCATTATCTGATCTTATCATCTTAACCTTCACATTGAATTGTCTCTCACCATAGATAGGAAGCTCTTAAGCATAGGAAAAGCATTGCTTTTAACACTTAACAAGAATGTCCAGGATCCTCTAGTGTAGTCATCAACAATAGTGAGGAAATATTTGAAACCATTATAAGTGCTAGATTTATAACGTCCCCAAGTATCAATATGTATAAGATCAAAAGCATGCTTGGATTTTATATTGCTAACGGGAAAGGGATTCCTAGTCTGTTTAGCTTTAGGACAGATATCACAAACAAAATTAGAATTTGAAGCACAATGAAAGAAATGTAAATGTTTCATTGCTGAAATTGGAACATGACCCAAACTTTCATGCCAAAGCTTTACATCAGGTATCACATTAACATGAACTGACTTGGACCTAAAACAGACCTAAAACTGGAATCTCTCCTTTTG